ATCTTCAACAAATGGTGCTGGACCAACTGGATGTCTACATGCAGAAAAATGAAAATAGATCCATATTTATCACCCTGCACAAAACTAAAGTCCAATTGAATCAAGGACCTCAACATAAAACCAGATACTCTAAATCAGCTGGAAAAAAAAGTGGGAAACAGCCTAGAACTCATTGGCACAGGAGACAACTTCCTGAACAGAACACCAACAGCACAGGCTCTAAGAGCAACAATCAATAAATGGGACCTCATGAAACTGAAAAGCTTCTGTAAAGCAAAAGACACTGTCATCAAAACAAATAGCCTACAGATTGGGAAAGAATCTTCACCAACCCTTTATCTGACAGAGGGCTAATATCAAGTATATATAAAGAACTACAGAAGCAGAAAAGCAACAAACCAAGTAATCCACTTAAAAAATGGGGAACAGAGCTAAACAGAGAATTCTCGAAAGAGGAACATCGAATGGCAGAGAAACACTTAAAGAAATGCTCAACCTCATTAGCCATTAGGGAAATGCAAATCAAAACGACCCTGAGATTTCACCTTACACCCATCAGAATGGCCAAGATGAAAAACTCAAGTGATAGCACATGCTGGAGAGGTTGTGGAGAAAAGGGAACCCTCCTCCATTGCTGGTGGGAATGTAAACTGGTTCAACCACTCTGGAAGTCAATCTGGCGCTTTCTCAGACAACTAGGAGTAGTGCTACCTCAAGACCCAGCTATACCACTCCTAGGTATATACCCAAAATTTGCTCAAGTACACAACAAGGACATTTGTTCAACCATGTTCGTAGCAGCTTTGTTTATAATAGCCAGAACCTGGAAACAACCCAGATGTCCATCAACAGAGGAATGGGTACAGAAATTGTGGTATTTTTACACAATGGAATACTACTCAGCAATCAAAAAGGAGGAAATCATGAAATTTGCATGCAAGTGGTGGGATCTAGAAAAGATCATTCTGAGTGAAGTATCCCAGAAGGAGAAAGACAAACTTGGTATATACTCGCTTATATAGACCTACAAGACATGATAAACATAATGAAATCTACACACCTAAAGAAGATAATCAAGAAAGTGGACACAGGCGAAGGTGATTAATCCTCATTTAGAAAGACAAATGGGATGTGCATTGAACTTATGACAGGAGTCTACCACAAAAGGCATCTGAAAGACTCTACCTAGCAGTGTTTCAAAGCAGACACTAAGACTCATAACCAAACCCTCGGCAGAGTGCAGGGAATCATATGAAAGAAGGGAAGTTAGTATGATATGGAAAGGATAGGAGCTCTACAAGGACCAAATATATCCGGGCACAGGGTCTTTTCTGAGACTGACACTCAACCAAGGACCATCTATGGATATAACCTAGAACTTCTGCTCGGATGTGGCCCGTGGTAGCTCAGTAACCAAGTAGTTTTCCAAAGTAAGGGGAACAGGAACTATTTCTAACAGGATCTCAAGGGCAGGCTGTTTGACCCCCACCCCCCCAGGGGATGAGCAGTCTGTTAGGCCACAGAGGAGGACTTTGCAGCCAGCCCTGAAGATACCTGATAAAACAGGGTCAAATGAAAGGGGAGGAGGTCCTCCCCTATCAGTCGACTTGGAAAGGGGCAGGGAGGAGACCAGGGAGGGAGTGTGGGGTTGGGGAGGGAATGAGGGAGCGGGATACAGCTGGGACACAGAGTTAACAAAATGTAACTAAAAAGAAAAATAAAATTAAAAAAAAATTAAAAAAAAAAAAAGAAAAACAGTTCTTTACTCAAAGTGACCAGCAGATTCAATGCAATTCCTATCAAAATTCTAATTCATTTTCCATAGTGGAAAAGCAGCCTACAATCTATAGAACCAGAAAAGATCTAAATCTCTAAAGCTATCTTGGGCAAAATTCTACAACCTGGAGGTTTCACTCTTCCTGATTTCAAAGTATCTTACACAGCTGTTGTAATCAGAATAGTGTAGTGTTGGCATAAAAATAGACACAATGACTAGTGAAATGGAAAGCTCCAAAATAAACCAGAGTATTTATTGTCTGATTTTCAAAAAGAGAAAAGACAGTTTGTCTAATAAATATAGTATTAGGAAAATTGGATATCCACAGATAGAAAAATGAAAATAAACCCTTGTCTTATATCAAGTTAAAATCAAACAAAATACTAACTCAAAAAGGATAAAAGACTTCAGTGGAGACTGCAAACTATTTCAATGACACCCGGAAAAAGCTCCATGAAACTGGTTTAGGCAATGATGTCATAGACAAGACTCTAAAACCTCAGGCAACAAAGACAAAAACAGCAAGTAGAATTTCTTCAAACTAAAGTGTTTCTGAGAAGCAAACACACCGTAGAGGCAACCTGGGGAAATGTACACACATTATGTACTTGATAAGGGGTTCAATTTTTAAACTGTATGTGGAAAAGAATATGAAAAGTGCTCATCATTTCTGAGCACCACAAAAATGCAAATTAAAACCATAATTTTATGGTTTATGAATAAATCCTTCAGATTGGCTTTTAACAAAAAGACAGAGGGTAACAAGTGTCACTCAGGCTGTGGTCCAAAGGAATCCTAGGACACTGTAGAGAGAGCATAAACAAGCATTGACCTTAAAGAACAGAACTCTCTCAATGCTAAAAAAAAATAGAATTACCATATAATCCAGCATTCCCATTAGAGGACTTATATAAAACTGAAATCAGCAAGTAAAAAAAAAAAAAAAAAAAAAATCTCTCCATTTCCATTTTTATTTCAGGAGCCAAGATATGGAAGCACCTTATAAGGCCACCAGGGACAAATAAAGAAAATCAATCTCTCTCAATCTCCCAATCTCAATCATTCTTTCTCGCTCCCCTATCTCTCATACACACTACATATATATTCTTAAAAAAGAAATTGTCATTTTTTGACAAAGTTGATAAAATCCAAGGGCATTATACTAATAAAGACAAATATTATGTATTTTCAATCTTAAATTGAATCCAGAGTGTCAGTTTTATGAGAGTAAAAAGGTGGCTACTGAAAGTCAGAGGGAACACAGGAGAAGGGAGAAAGATGGGAAAGAGTGAGCTGCTGACCAAATTTTCAGACTGTGCAGTAGTGAGTTTTAAATGATCTATGCAGCTCATGGCAACCAGTTAATAACAATGTATACTATTGCTAGAACAGGTTTTTCCCATTTTTATCACACACACACACACACACACACACGTTACTGATGTGATGGGTGTTAATTAACTTGACTTTCTACAATGTATACATAGTTCAAACATCACACTGCACCCCACAAACATAGAGAATTGTTACAAATAAATAAATAAATAAATAAATAGGCCTTTTAAATGACCTAAGAAGATAGATTTAATGTTACATTAAATGAAAAAAGTTCAAATTATGCTGGATCCTAACTGAGTAGGGCTGGATATAATCTGTTGGTACAATGCTTGCCTGGCATACAATAATCCCAGGATGTGATCCCGAGCAACACTGAAACTGGATGTGGTGGCACAGGCTTGTGATTTTAGTACCAGGAGATGAAAGGTGGAAGCAGAAGAACCAGAAGTTCAAGGTCATTTTCAGTTACATAGTGAGTTTGAGGCCAGCCTGGGCCACAAGAGGCCCCATCTCAAAAAACAGAACAAAAAATGTGACTATACAAAGTTCTGACTGGAAAATGTCATTACTTAAACAACAGATGTCACAGGATAATGGCATTGTGGGTAGTAGTTTTCCTATTCATGAATATCCATGTTTTCTAATGGACACGAATTATTTTGCCAATCAAGAGAATAAAAGGCTTGTGATGCATTTAGTAACAAGTCAAAAATAGACAAAATTAATAACCTTTCTTTAACGAAGTTACAAATTGTATCTAGCGTTTTTAAATGGATGAGCATGGTGAACTATTCCTACTTGTGTCTCTGGTATATCTGAATACTAAATTGAAAACTGAATGTTTTAGAATTTGTGCTCAATTATGGTCACTTATATTAACTTAGTCTTATATTTGGCTGATGAGGTTTCTGGCTATGAATACTCAATGACTTGTGGAAATGATAGCTGCATTTTAGGTCTTTTTCTAAATCTTTCTTTCCTATGCCCAACAAATAGAAAAAAAGAGAGTAAGCAGTATACTAAACAGAAAAACAGTTTAAACAATTAATTGTTAACAAAATGTTTTCAAATGGATGATACTATAATAAATTCAGTATTTACTGGGCCCACACAGAGCTAGCTTTTGCATCAATAATGCACTGGATGAGACAGAAGTGCACCAGTATTCAGCCACACAACAAGCGCATGCAGAGGAGAGATAGACTCTACGCAACGCTTAGGGATGATTTTTGAGATGGTATCTGAGCAAAGCTAAGACTGCATTTTTCTCTTTTTCTATTTTCATATATACTTAATGTACCTTTTACTTACTTTACTGACCAATTTCCAGTTTGGATCAAGGCTTTGTTTATGTGCTTCTTAATACTCTGCTAATTCTACAGTAGTTTTACTAGCACCATATTCTCATTGTCTCTTCCAACCCTAGAATAGGGCTTTCCAACAGTGTACCATGGCTTGATGGTGACTATCTACATACTAAGGAAAGAAGCTTCAGAGTGAAATGGACCTCACTAGTACCTTGATCTGGGAACGTCTCAGTTTTTAGAACTGTGAGACATGAACTTTTGTTATTTCAGCCCCAGTCTATGAAGTTTCATTTAAGGCAACTCTAATATGTTAAAACAGATTCTGGTATCAAGAAGTATGGGTATATGTGTTTGATGATGACTGCTTGTGATGCTACACAAATCAATGGTCTAGTTCACTTTAGATTTCTTATTAAAGTACATCAGATGTGGCTAATAAGGTATGGCTTGATTAGATTAACATGTGCACAAGTCTTTGAATTTTGGAACCCATTAGCTAGCAACAACAAGAATTCCAAGTTCCCACAATCAAGGATTTTTTCAACTAAAAGAGATGATCCCACTACAGAGCCACTTACTTTGTCTTTGCCTCCTTTAACAGAGAAGGGTCATCAGTGGCCAGATATACTCTTTTCTTATCCACTTTCATCCTGCGTGAGAGAAGCTGGAAATGTTCTTCAACGTGTACCATGTACTCCTCGATGGGATGGAAGGCTGCTTCTGTTCCCACTTTGTCAGTGCGCCTGACATGGACTCTGGGGAAAGGCGGAGAGCGTGCTGATAATGTGCTGGCACTCAATTAGCATCCCCAGTCATGGTGGCACTGGGGCATGTTAAACCAATTTGTCATTTATCCCACCAAATAGAAAATATAAGATCATTTCAAAATATTTCACAAATGCTTTAATATAGTTGCATGTTGAATAGTACAGAGCAATATGAAAGGCAAGTAAAAGTTCTGAGAAATACCGTGTCACAGAAAAAATACTTGGCTTATCAAGAATATTTGGGAGACTGGCAGCAAAATACTCACCAACTTACCATGAAAAAAAAAAAAGATTTAAGTTTTAAGGTTTTTTGTTTGGTTGGTTTTGGTTTTTGAGACAGGGTTTCTCTGTGTAACTTTGGCTATCCTAGACTCTTTTTGTAGACCAGGTTGGCCTGAAACTCACAGAGATCTTCCTGTCTCAAGTGCTGGGATTAAAGGCGTGTGCCACTGCTCCTGGTTTTAAGGTTTTTGAAATCAAAATTGTAACAGGATTCAAAGCTTAAAAGACGCTGTTTGTAATGTTCTGACACCAAGGCTTATTTATTAACTTTTTCTTTCATTTTACCTTGTAGAGTGACTACAGTTTTAGCTCACCGAATTTAAAGTCATCCAAGGAAACACAAACCCATATGAACTTTTCCTAAATTAACACAGGGAAGCCTTTTAAAGATATTGGCTATTTTATGTTCACGAAACCATTATTGCCTTTGTGTGTGTGTGTGTGTGTGTGTGTGTGTGTTTTGTCTATCAAATGCAAACAGAAACAGTTTTCATTTGTTGTAGTGAAGAAAAAAAAACGCAATGTTATATAAGGACAGACTTATACTGTCCTACAATGGCTAAGCCATTGATTTCCCAGCATTCACCCTGCTCCTTAGTGTTGCCAAAGGCCATGGTTGTGTCTTGACTCTGGAGTGAGTGCTGGAGTATACTGGAGTAACTGTGTCACTCCATCTTCATGTTATTTCTTCCCTTGTATCTAAGGAAACTAGACTATATGGACTATAGTCCGGATGTGGATTTGATCACAGGAATACCTATTCTGTCATTTTTTTTCTTTCCTATATTCTTCTTATTGACTTTTTTCTCTCAGGAAATTGGACTTGTTTCTTGTGCTCTATCATATGAAGTGGGACAGGGAGAATTCGGCACACCGAATTTCAACTAAGTTTCAGGGAATGAGCCCTATTTAATATTCTGATTTCACTATGTACTTCCTTAACACTTAAAATAGGGGTCAGTAACTACATATAAAGATTAAGAGATGAAGAAAAATGTGGAGTAGGAAATATAAAAATAAAACAAAAAGCTTCATAAAAAAACTGAGAGGGAGAGACAATGGAAGAAGAACATTGGAGAGAGCAGAAAAGCACACAGAGCCATTTGCCTTGCTGCTCTAAGTGCACGAAGGGAGAACAGTCTCTAAGTTCTGGAATCTTTTTTCCTTGGTGGAAGTAGAACTATTAAGTTATATAAAATTTACAGTTAAAGGTAAACATATAGAACTACTTCTATATATTACTGTTTGGGGGGGGGGAATAGATTCTTACCCAATAACTGGATGTTTGAAGCCAAGCTTCTTGGTGGCTTCTTCTATTTCCTTTTCCAGCCAAGGTTGTGGACGGATCAAATATTTGACAAATTGGGATACCCACCACACTGCAGGGTCACCATGGACTCTTACAAGTCGATCTGCAAGGTCTTCTGGAACAGCCAGGGGTAAGTAAGGAGGACGAGGATGTAGGCTGTCTACAATGGGGAGCTCGACCACTTGAACATTTTTGTCATTCACTTCACCTAACGGAACATCAAAACACAGCATCACTATGCTACGCTTCTCACATACCTACCATGCAGCAGAACTCACTCGGAGTACTTTCCCCTTCAGAGCAACTTTGCAGAAGTATTATGGCTTTCACTTTATAGAGGAAGTCAAGAATTTTGCCTATGGTACAAGAGCAAAAGTGACAGAGCTGAGCAAGCCTTTCAAGGCTATGGCCTTTCTAAAACTTCCTGTTATGCTGTCACAGTTAGGACGATAACTGGCATCCAAAGCATGTAACAGCCATGTGGCTCATAGACACAAGCAGCTACTGAGTTCGTGTTTTCTGTTTGTTTGTTTGTTTGTTTTGTTATTACTGTTTTTGAGTTTTACAGTAAGTATATTCAAACTTCTAAGCTTCTTATTATAGCAAACGACCCTTGCATTTCTTTTGTAACAGACACTGGAAATAACAAAAGATTACAATTATAAATCAAGCCATCTGTATTGTTTTGTAGAAAACAATAGAAAACTAAATATATTTTTCTTGGCTAACTTAGATTTACTATATATTCAATTATGATAATAAAAACTTGTTCCTTATTTATCTCGATAGTAAAATTCAGAGATTAGATAATCATTTTTACAAACAATGACTGCTTTCAGAATTCATTTTGAATTCACCATTGCTACTTGTGCTCTACTAAATTTACAATGTAGTGATTTAAAAAACCACAATTGACAGTACCTCATATTTTACACATTAAGGATTTCCCAGTAATAAGTAAAACCAAAATACTACACAGAAAAAAAAATTCTGAGTTATAACTTTAATAATAAAATATTACCATAAATATAGAAAATAATTCTACTTAAGATGTTGTCATGATCACAGGACAATTAAGGAAAGAATATACTTGTAAAAAATAAGCCTACATACAATATGTTGAAGGTATATTCACCAGGATTAAACAGTTTGTTTCTGTATGTGTATGTTCCCATATATATGTAAATAAATTAAAATGTTTTAAAATAAATTATCTCGAACATAGCTAATAAAGCTAACTGCATAAGTATTTTAAAATCAGTTCAGTAGAGCAACGATTTAAAATCTTGGTAATATTCTATTTCTCTGCTATGTAAAATCATTTCAAGATTTTGAGAACAAAGTCCCTAAAATATGACATCCATAGTATGAATGAATAGTAATAAAATTTTTAGCGTTAGCATGGCAGTTCATCTAGTATGCCAACTAAGAAAGAACTAAGCACACTACAATTAAGAGTGTGAGGGGAAAATGAGACACATTTTAAATTAAGTTGTATCAATCTCCCTTAAGAAAAGAAAATAAGTGGTGGTTTCCCTGATATGGAATGATTAGAGGTAAGATACAAATATAAGAGAAAAATAAAGAATGAAAGAGGAAGGGAAAGGTGGTTATTTTTAATTAAAAAACAAAACAGAAAGAAGGGAAGTCCTGGTTTTGGGAGGCATGCATACTTATATTCTCAGCGTCTAGGAAGTTGGGACAGGAGGATACGGAGTTCAAAGCCAGCATAAGCTACATAGTAAGGTGTCTTTAAAAGGTATCGACTCTGTGATTAGTGAAAGAAGAAAGACAGGAAATGAAAAGAAAATAAAGAAAGCAGCAGCACCCAATTTCATAGATACCTATAAATATATACACACCTACACAAAGGCAGAATCAGTAGGGCTGTCCTTTGTTACTTTTTTCTAACAAGGTTATTCTAAATGTTCAGCCTAAGTAGCTCAATTTTCACTAATAAAAACATATTATTCTCTGATAGCACTGAGTCCTCAATTTCTGATAACCAACAATACTGACAATCTTCAGAATGCAATGAAAACTGTGTCTACATCTTCAAGCTAGAGAAGTATAGTCTTGTTGATTCTTTGTTATTACCTTCATTAATTCATTAGCTTGTTTAAATATTTGTGGAACTATATTCAAATGTTTGAGGAACACCATAAGCCAAACATTGTAGTAGTCACAATATAAAATGTCATCACCAACAAACCCCATAAGATTTACAGTGTAAGAAAAATCAAACATTACCATTAGCAAGTGTGCTTTCAAAAAGACTGTCTAGCAAAATATCAAAAAAGGTATTTCTTTCTGCAACTAGCAAGAATTAAACTCTAGTTTCCTCAGTAATTGTGTGCATACTCACACATTTTAAATGAATGCATTTTATAGATGTTAGACATAATGATGGATCAACTGAAATTCAAGCCATGTACTAAATTTCATGTGGGTGCTGTTGTTGACTGGCAGTCTGAGCCCCAGCTGGCCAGGTTTTTGTTACAGGGAGATTATTAGAAAGGGTTTATTAATTTATGAATCACGAGAATTGCTTCCCCACCTTGTATCTCTGCACTGTATGTAATCTGGCTAGGTATAGGTTGCATCGAGTGTTATGTGATTGACTATAAGGGGCTCAAGCATGCACAGATGTGAGGGTTTTGCCATCTCCTGCAGCCGATGGATCCCTTAGGGGGTCTGCATCATTACTAACTGTGGTCACCTAGCAATACATCACTAAAGCTTCTTCCAAGGTCAGTGAAACTTTGTCCTCTTTCATCAACAGCTGCCCTTCCTTCTTTCCTCAGCTCCTAGACATCACCTTTTGTTTGTCTACGAGATCAGTTTCTTGTAGATCCTACACATATGGGAGATCACACAGTATCTTTCTGTTTCTGGATTATTTCAGTGTAAGAATTAATAAATTCAATAAAGTACAAATTAGTAACAAATTACCTAAAAATAAATTAAGAAAATAATCCTATTTGCAAAAGCACAGAAACTTAGGTAAATTTAAAAATATGATGAAACATCTAAATATTGAAAATGATGAAACAATAATAAAAAATCTGAAGATACAAATAAATGGAAATATGGCCCATGAAAAATTAGTGCTAAAACATTGATAGTTCCCTAAAGTGATTTACAGCAATGTATTCCACATCTCAATCCTAAAGTCATTTTTCAATGAAATAGAAAAACACAATTTGTATGCAACTATACAAATACTCTAAGCAGCCAATGCAATCTTCAAAAAGAAGGGGTGGTTGCTGAGGGCATTACACTTGGGTGTCCTAGTGTATTACAAAGCTTTCTGTAATCAAAGCAGAATGGCGCTAGCATAAAAACAAACATAGTGACCAAACAAACTCCAGGGCTAGGAAACAGTTGATCTCAGCCAACCTACCAAGTATATACACGTCTCTCTTCTATAAATGGTATTCAGAAAGAGATATTAATATGTAGAAAAGTGAAAACAGACTCACATACCATATACACAAATGGACTAAAAAATGTATAGACAAACATAAGATCGAAAACAACAAAGCTGTAAGAAAACAAAACAAGAAACAGAACAAACAAACAAAAACAAGAAAAGCTCCACAACATTGGCCCAAGCAATGATTTCATGAATGAGACTCCCAAATCACAGGCAACAAAAACAGAAACAAACAAATGAGATGGTATCAAACTGAAATGCTTCTGCAAAGCAGCAAAGACAAACCTGAATATTAAGAAAAATGTTTGCAAAACATACATCTGATAAGGGAATAATCTCTAAAACACACAGAATTCAAACACTGAGAAGTATGAAAACAAATAATCTGATTTTAAAAAATACATAAAAGTTAGAAGTAGACATTTCTCAAAAGAAGTATAAGTGGATAAGTATAAGGAAAAATGTTCAACATCTCTAATCAACAATAAAGTCCAAATCACGTTAGGATGGCAAAAACACTGAGGATGATTAATAAACATTGTCAAGGTTGTGGTAGAAAAGAAACATTTGTGCTCAATGGGATGAAAATCAGTGATCCCCCCCCCTTTTTAAAAAATTTATTACGATTTATTCACTTTGTATCCCAGCTGTAGCTTAATCCCAACCCCTTCCTCCCTTCCTCCCTCTTCTCCTCTCATGCCCCTCTCCCAGTCCAATGATAGGGGAGGTCCTCCTCCCCTTCCATCTGATCCTAGCCTATCAGGGCTCATCAGGACTGGCTGCATTGTCTTCCTGTGTGGCCTGGTAAGGCTGCTCCCCATTAGGGGGAGGTGATCAAAGAGCCAGTCACTGAGTTCATGTCAGAGACAGTCCCTGTTCCCCTTACTAGAGTACACTTGGATATTGAGCTGCCTTGGGCTACATCTGTGCAGGGGTTCTAGCTTATCTCCATGCATGGCCCTTGGTTGGAGTATCAGTCTTAGAAAAGACCCATGGGTTTTTTGGTTCTGTTGTTCTCCTTGTAGAGTTCCTATCCCCTCCAGGTCTTTCTATCTCCTCCTTCTTTCATAAGATTCCCTGTACTCTGCCCAAAGTTTGGCTATGAGTCTCAGCATCTGCTTTGATACCCTGCTGGGTAGTCTTTCAGAGGCCCTCTGTGGTAGGCTCCTGGCCTAATCCCTGTTTTCTCCCTCTTTAGATGTCCATCCTGTTTGCCTTTCTGAGTGAGGATTGATGATCTTACCCAGGATCCTCCTTCTTGCTTAGCTTCTTCAGATGTACAGATTTTAGTTTGTTTATTTTATATTATATGTCTAATATTCACTTATAAGTGAGTATATACCATGTGTGTCTTTCTGCTTCTAGGATACTTCACTCACGATGATCTTTTCTAGATCCCACCATTTCCCCGCAAATTTCATGATTGTCTGGAGGTATCTCCATCCCTGATCTCAAACTGTACTACAGAGCAATAGTAACAAAAACTGGATGGTACTGGCACAAATACAGAATGGTAGATCAATGGAATCGAATAGAAGATCCAGAAATAAACCCACACACCTACAGATACTTGATTTTTGACAACGAAGCCAAAACCATACAATGAAAAAAAGAACATCTTCAACAAACGGTGCTGGTCTAACTGGATGTCTACATGTAGGAAAATACAAGTAGATCCATATGTATCACCCTGCACAAAACTAAGGTCCAAGTGGATCAAAGCCTCAACATAAAACCAGACATACTAAATCTGTTAGAAGAAAAAGTGGGGA